TTGCTGACACTATTATAGAGAAAGAAAAACTCTAAAAAAATTCCATGGAAAAACTTATTAAAACAATAAAACAGTTCCGTGAAGTAGCAGGTTACAAAATCAATAAAGAAAACCAGTAGCCTTCCTATAGGAAAAGTCTGAAGAGGTAGAAATTAAAAACTATCCCATTTTCAACTGTACCCCTCCAAAATAAATAAATAAATACCTGGGAATAAACCTAAAAAAAGGAGGTAAATGGTATAGATAAGGGAAAAAGAAAAATATGTCATTTGTGGCAACCTGGATGGAGCTGAAAGGGATTAAGGTAACTGCCCGTGTCAGAAGGAAAAAAGAATGCTTTCACTGATATGCAGAATGCAGAGAAACCAAGCAAAGAGTTAGGTAAATGACAAAATTTGCAAGTTGAGGCATACAGGAGGGAGGGGATGGGGTAAAATGGGTGGAAAAAGAGCACACAGGACTATGGTAATAGATCACAGGAGATGGAGGTGAGAAAATTATGGAGATTACATCTCAAGGGAAAATAAAATACTGTCTAAAATTAATAATGATATAAGAAAAAGAAAAGTACTTAAAGAATAAAATAAAAACAGAGAAAACATCACACATAGGGATAGTAAATTTTTATAATTAATGGAATTTTTTAATTAAATATTTAATTTGAATCTTAAAGCCAAACTTTTGTTTCTGTCAGCACAGATGTACTTAAGTTGCCTAGTCTAATTCGTCACAAATGTATTTCATAGGGCTGTTGTCAATGCATCATTATATTATTTCAGCCTGATAGCATTCTGTGTGCAATGCTCCTGTTTGGAAAAAATAAATAAATAAACTGTTCTTTTTAATAACTGATTCAATAAACTGTTGACAAATGATTTCTATAATATAGTATGTTCAGAAAGCAGTGTTTGGCTCCATCATTACACATTGCATCCAACCTATCCATAAATGTTACCATGTCCCTTTTATGTTAGAGTTCCTGTATGCCATTCTGAATAGCAATCCAAAGATCAATACACTGTCTGCTGACAACAGGACATAACAAATGAATAATTTTATTTACAATCAAAGCCCCAGTTCTCAAATGGATTCTACTTATGTTCAAATTCATTTTTCATGTTCAACTCACCATTAGAGATAGAACACAATGCAAGGAGATGGAGTAGGGGAAAGTACTAACCACATGTGCTTGAATTTATTTAAGCCATGAACAATGGGTAGGCTACATAGAGGTACAAGAATAAAATGTTCACTGCAGAATGCTGAAGATGTAGTCACTAAAATCCCTCTGTCTTCTCACCAAGTCTCTATGGAAAAGTATTTTCCAATAATCAGAAATGAATGTATTAAAGACAATCTGACATATTCTTCTAGAGTGTCACACTACAAAGACCAGAGTTTATTTAATTGACCTATGCCCAGTTTGCAATGAATAGAGAACTACTTGCTTTAGGAAGGACAAGGAGGACTAATGTGGCCCTTTGCGGTGAAGCTAATATTGCTTCGAAAGCCTATCTTCAGCCCCTGATCTGACTGCTCCTTTCTTCTGTGAAAGCTATAAGAAAGTCAGTGAGCAAAGTCATAAGAAAAAACAGTTGTGTGTTGAAAGGAGCAAATGTTAGAGAGGAAACAAGTTCAAAGATGACATTTACAAGTTACTCCTAAATGGCACACTCCACAAAGGCCACCTGAATGTTCTTTATAAAAAGAAATAATATACAAACCATAATTTTCTTTTTCACCTAAAAAGTCAACACACTTTCCTTAAATTACAGACTTGTCATTCACAAATTAATGTGCCAAAGGAAAAAAAAAAGTAAGAATAATAAAGAATCTTTCCCCATCTACCACTAATTAATTTAGTGCTTTTAGTTTTCACTCAGAAAACTGGTAACACAGAAATGTATAAATGGCAAACCATGTTATAAATGGCAAACCACGAAAGCTGGAAAAATACAGCTTTGATGTGACACTAAAATTTTGGGATAAAATGGTGATAAGACTTGGCTTTTTGCATAAGGATATTGAAACTGACCCCGATTGTTCCATTCCACTAATTGAAATAATTCATATGTTCCTGACATTTACAGTTTCACTTTAAATTCAGTAACATAATATTTTGCGATGCTGAGCAAACAAAAAATGTGTAAGAGCAGGTTCTGTACCATTTCCCAGAAAATAATGACTCAGCAGTAAGACAATCAGGAATGCACAGAGTTCTGATAAGAGGCAGGCAGGGAAAGCTTGGCAAGGTGCCTGGAACAGAACTGGTGCTTGGTTATAAATTGCTGAATGAATCAACATGTGAATTAAGAATCAAGTGTTACTATCTTTTTGATTCAGGACAGGTATCAAAACTTGTAGTTGAAAAGAAAATAAAAGCTGGAAGGATCTCAAAGTGAAGAAAGTGGCAAGCGAAAGGATGATAAAGGGAAATGCCAGACCTTTTTAGTAAAGATTTGGCAGTGGGGGAGGTTGAGTCAAAATAATAAAACACTCTTTAAATTATGCTACAGAGTTGGAAGGAAATCCAGGGGTGGGAATGGAAGGAAGATTTGTGGTTTTTAAGCACAGGGACAGGGAATTGTTTCAAGCAGAGCTGTGATTTGTAGACTGGATTAGAGAAATCTGGACAGAGAAAGGGTGAAAAAAGCTAGATGAACCTCACCAAAGAGTTGGGCTAGGGCAGGCAGAATATAACACTGGGGGGAAGATGAAAACCCACCACAGACATCTCACCATTTATTTTGTGAAATGTTAATGGGAAGAACTATCCACAGCTTCAATTCCCAAATCACAGGAGAAAAGATTAATGCTTTCTGCAAGCAAATGAGTAATGTATTAAGATTCTTCTCACATTTGTGACCTAATAGAATTTACAAAGGCAAACTAAAAAAGTTACAAAATCATCATATAAAAGGATTGTCTGAATACATTTATTCAATGGCCCTGATTCCATTTTAAACACTGTAGATATGAAAACCTTACAGAACATACTGGGCACAAAAATATTCCAGTTTTCATTATTCCCTTCCTCAGAAGGGGTCAAGTTATTCTTGCTACCTGCCAAATAAATTGAGGTTTGTTGATTTTTTTTTTTGAGATTTGTTAATTTTAATAAAATGTTACCCATTTCTTCAGCATTTACTGAACTGATCAGGACCAGCAATATAGGAATTCAGGAGCCATTTTTGAGATAAAGTATTCACTGATAGCTCACTACTTTAGTATAGACATTTCCCTGGAAGCAGGCATTGACTTTTCTTGAAAGAAAGACCAAGTTCTTACACATCAGAACCTCAGAGTTGGTTAAGAAGGTCTTGATCAATCAAATGTCTTACTATCAGGGTACAAGTTAAAAAAAAAATCACACAGCAAACTTTATTCTGCCATTAACCATTAAAAAAGCAGTGCATCTCTCTGAAATCACATTTTCTCAGTCTGAGACATTAAAATGTCTTCATCTAAATTCACCCCAGGTTCCCTCAGTTTTTTGATAGAAGTCAATTAAAGCAAGGACTCAAAGAGAAATGACATTTAAACCACATTTTTTTTGACACCTGAACTCTGATATTTTGCTTAAAGAAAATCCTCAAAGTACAACTATAAACCTAAAGCAAAATCAAATGAAAAAAAACAAAATGTATCAATTATTTTTCAAGAACGCAAGATCTTTTAGAACTCAATATAAAATTGTCATACAACTTATTTTTTTTCTATTTTATAGGAACTTGTGATTTATTAAAGTTTTTTCTCCTTCATTTCAATAAACAGGAGACTATAGTATGTACTATTGCTATAAACTTAAAACTAAAATATTATCACAATTTTACATAACAGTATTGTTATGATCATTAGTTTGTAAATTTATAAAATTCATTCAATTAAACTTTGCATGTAAGGAATTTGGTGGGGTACCATAAAATCTCAATTATCATATAATGTGTGTTGCTCTTTCTGTATTTTTTCCCAATGAATAATGGTTACACAGCCAATAGATAAGATTGTTCATGAAGTTCTCAAGCACTATGAAAATCTACACTAGAAAAAAAGTATAACTTACTCTGAACAAAAAATTATTGGCATATTTGTAGATTCCGTTTTACTGAGAATTTCAAAGTAAAATTATGTCTCCATGTGAAAAATGCTTATTACTTTCAAATATGAAATTTTATGCTTTGTTGCCCTTATCATAGTAAATTAAGTTGGGGGCACAGGAGGGAAAATAAACTCTGGAGTCAGTACAAACTTCATAGCCCACAGTCATGAGAGACACTTTGAACAACATAACAAAACTCCCCAGAGCTTCTACTCTGTTCTGCTACTTCCACCACACAGGGTTAAGCTTCCTATAGCTAACAGGAAGAAAGAGCACAACTCGATGTTCAGTGGGAAACAAAACAACACTACTGCCAATCACAAAGGACAATTATCTAGAAGCTGATGTTTTCCAAGATAAAATGATATTTTAAACCCTAACATGACAAAACGAATAGTAAGTATACTTATATGTATGAAGTTATTTAAAACTTATAGCTTGGATGATCTCCAAGAACTAAAGATACCAAGTCACTTTCAAATACTCAGATAATACCTAACTTCCACGTGACAAAAATGCCATATAATCTCTACCCTTAGTATTAAAATTCACAATGGGGAACTGAAAACAAAGTGTCTGTGATATTCATTGGGCCTATTTTAGAAACACACATTTATTTACACAGATAACAACAGTAAAAAGGTCAAGCAAAAATTCACCTCTGGAACCACAGTTGCTAAGCAACTCTTTTCAAAAGTTCTGCAACACTGATCAAGCATATTACTTGTGCCACCAACTGGATTCGAATAAATGTAATATCTTACCTGGTTTCGCCAAAGGGGAAAGTGGACCCTTGCTTACCTTTCTGGACAGACAGTAGTAGAGGTCAATCATGAATTCATTGGTTTGGTAGGTTGAGATGGGTTTTATTTTTTCTCTTGTAGGAAACATAAAAGGATACGTCCTGGTACAACAGGCTTCCTGTTCACAAGCGCAAAAGACAGCTCTGTTTTGAGAAATACCACAGAGGGCTTGATGAGATGTTGACCAAATCTGAATGACATCTCCTCACAGTGGAAGTCTTAAAAAGAAGACAAATTAAACATAGGCATTAATTTATAAAATTCAGATAAGGATCTGAAAAAGCAAAAGCAAAATTCATTACTACAAATTCTTAATTGAAGTATTCCTCATTTGATATCCACTAAGGTACTGTGAGTAATTAAGTCCTCCTAAATACTCTCTATCAGCTCTGCCTTCATTAGAGTTAGTGTTTTAAAGCAGAAGTTTGCAAGTGGAGATCAAAAAGTCTTTTTACATCCCTCTGCACTTTAAGAGGCCACCTTCATTCAAATCCCTGAGGCCTGTCAAGTTCTTTACTAATCCATGCCATCATCTTTGCTAAAATGAAATGTTTTTTTGTTAAACATTGTCTAAAACCTTCTAATTCTTAAATGTTTTTTTCTCAAATATATATATATTTGTTTATATAACAGCAAATTTTTAAAAAGTACAAACACTATTTGACTTTGCCTATAGCTACAAAAACATGAGATTTCCCAGAGAACTATTACAGCAAAATTTCCAAAATTAAAGAGAATAAAGTTGAGAAAAAGAAGGAAGTTACAAAATAGAGTTCAACAAGGGAAAATGTCTCACTGATGCAGAACCAGGATGAAGCAAGGTTTGTGAAGGTTTTTTTTCCACCCCTCTATTTTGCGGAAAGTCACAGAGCTAGGCTAAAGAGAGATTTAGTAAAGGTATCTCAGGTGAACAAAATATACCCGGAATCAACGAATACTTTATGTCAGTCTGAGGGGGCTATATAAGACTTCTAAATGAATAAAACACAGCCACCTTGGGAAATCACCCCACCACAAAACCAATGAAAACAGAACAGATCATGTGAAAAAAGAAACAGGATTATGAAAATGATGAAGTCGGGAAATGGTTGACTATATTATAAAGCATACCAATGAATGCAGAATTATTTACTGATTCTAATTTTCTTAATGACCCCAAAGGATAGAGTATTAAAATGCCATCTATTATAGAAGTGACCCTCTATCATATACTTCACATAATTGAGCAAAAAAGAAATAATGTGGATGATTCAAATACATGTTTTTAGAACATTTATAATTATTTCATAAAAATGAAAGATTAGTAAGCATATTTAAAAAAGGAATATTAAAATATCAAAAACCCAGTGGTTTCAGAGTATGTCTCCTGTGTCAGCAGCATCAACAACATGGAGAATTTATAAATGCAAATTAGGTCCTATTGCAGACCTACTTGAACCAAAAACTCAGGGAAAAGGGACCAGCAATAAGAACGGAAGCTGCCCAGGTTATTCAGAACCACTGATGAAACCCAAGTATACTTTCTGATTTGTGGGGTTTTTTCCTACAGAATCCCTGCCAAATAGCTGGTTAGCCAATACCCGAATATACCTAGTGTGGAAAATTCACCATCCATGTTTGCTAAAACAATTAAATTCTACAATTTCATATTGTCCTTCATACCAAATTCATCTATTTGTCATGAATTTTCACTTTGCAGATATATAGTAAGTATAAGTGGCAATGCTTCAGACATTTAAAGTTAACCATTTTCTCCACATTTTCTAGAGTAAACACAACAATTCATTTCAATCATTCTACAAGGAGCAGATTCAAGTTCCCTGCAGCCGACTGTGGCTTTTTTTTCTCCCCAGCATCAACTTTCTTTATTTCTTACATTATCAACTTGACTTTTCTATGGGTAATATCCTACCATAGTCCATATGAAGGGCTATACCTATTGCCTGATTCTAGGGATGGGAAAGTTACTAGATATCCTTAGATCTTAGTCACATAATTAGTTCAGGAGTGGACAGAGGAGAAAAAGGAACCACTGACAGGTAAAAAGAGCCATAGGAGAATTACTACTGGTGATAAGGAGAAAGGGGCTACTTTGTGCAAAGTTGCCAAGCTAGTAGGACATGAACCTAGAACAGAAAAAGGTTACTCTTAAATGGGTCTTCCAGATATTAGAGTCAACACTAAGGCCCAAGGCCAGCAGAATAGAATACTGTCCCTGGAATTTATTTCTGTTTAAGGCTTATCCTTAATTGTTCATAATAATCTTAAGTATAGGTTCTAGTTGATGAGATACTATTATGCATCTATGAAATGTTCTTCCTTTGATTCTCATTGTTATTCTTATAATCATTTCCCCCTTCATCTTTCTATGCCCATTCTTATCTCTAGCTTTTCTACCACAGACATTTGTTTATAAATATGTCAAATATATGGACTTCTCCATACAACTATTAAATTTATATGTAAATTATAACATGCTTTAAATCTTATTCTGCCTTTTCCCCTCAACATTGTTTTAGACTCACTTATTTTGCTATAAATTGATGTAGTTCACTCTTTGACTGTTTATTTCTTCTCATTGTATTTTTCCCTAATCTGCTATAATTTTCCTTGTTCAATTCTCCAGTGCTAAAGAGAGAGTTTATCATCAACCTTTCATCACAAATAAAACTGTGCTGATTATCCTTACATACATTTTCTTGGACATTTATGCTAGTGTCTCATTACTGATTATATACATATTTAGATTTTCTTAAATATATGCACCAATTTGCATTTCCAGAAGGAAAACATGCAGATTTCTATTTCCCCACATCCTTGTCAGAACTTTATATTATCTGAGTTCATACTTCTTCCTAATTGTTATAGGTAAAACAGCTATCTCTAAATTTTAATTTGCTTATGTCCAACGTTCAATGTGATGTGTGTGTGTGTGTGTGTGTGTATAAGTTTCTCTCCTCCTATGAATAACCAACTCATTCTTTTTCTTCTTGTATTGGTTTCTTCCCTTCCGGTTTTCTTATTTTCTGAACACTCTTGGGTATTGTAAATATTGATCTTTATCCAATTATATTTCTATCTTCTGTTGATTTTTTTATCATTCGTTCCATTCACCATATTCATGTTGATGTATTTATCAGGTTTTGCATATTATCCTGTGAATCTATGTAACAAATTCTTCTCTACAATAAAATTATAAAAGTATATTCCTAAATTTCCATATATCAGCTTTTTATTTTCACTCTTAATCGTCAGGTATTTTATCCACTTGGAGCTCTGTTATGATATGAAGTATGGAAATGGTTTGATTTATCTCCTATTTTGAACCAATTACCCCAACAATACTTGTAGAAAAGATTATACCAAGTTCCTATATATATATATATACATAGGAATAGATTTTTATTATAGTCTGCTTCTATATTGCATGCTGTAGAACAAGTGTGGCAAGATTCAGCAGGCCACTCAGTCTCTGATGTAACCACTCAATCCTGTTATTGAAGCATGAAAGTAGCCGAAGATAATACATAAATTAATAAATGCATCTGGGTCCCAATAAAACTTTATTCATAAGAAAATGGTTGAAATGGATATTGATCAGAATTACACTGAATTTTAACAAGTAAAATAAAACATCTTCACAATGTTCAATCAATCCATTTATGAATGCTGCATTCATGCTCTATAATACCATAATAAAACTCTTATAATAGTGATTTAAATTTGCCTTATGTATTTTATACATTATTTGTTATATTTATTCCTAGGCACCTTTTAGTTTGTAACACTATTATAATAAATGGTATCTTATCATCATCTTCTATAATCAGTTACTCCCTATGCAAAGAAAAACTATTGCTTTTTATATGCTGATCTTGTAAGCTGGCAACCTACCTGAAATCTTGTGTTGCCGCTATTAGTTTCTGCTCATTCTTTTTGTTCTTCTGTATAAATTGTTTTTCTCAGAAGTAATGACAAGAATATCTGTTTAAAATTTTCTATTTATGCACTGGTCAGATTAACTGGTAATGTGTTGAGAAGGATAAGTAATGCAGGAATCCTTGTCCTATTCCCAAAAGTTAAAGGAATGAGTTTAAAGTTGTTTTTATTTTTCACTAAGAATCATGACTCCTATAGGAAAGCCATCATCAACTTAAAAAAAAAAAAGTACCTTGTATTTCAAGGTTGCTAAGGGTTGACTGAATTTTTAAAAATTTAATCTTATTATATAACTTCTCCTTATCATTATAATACAGTTTCTTGTTCTTTGCTATTTATGTAGTAAATTACATCAATAGGACCTTTAAAAGACTAGACCATCTTTTCACTTTTATGGTAATTTTAACATAATAACAACTACATATAATTTATTACATGACTAGATATAAATTTTCTGTTTTTAAAGGCATAAATGAAGTTGACAATATTTTTTAAACCAGGATTTTATTTTCAAAATCAAATAAACAAATTGAATTTTTTCTTTGGTTTATAATGTGCTTCATTTCTTTGTTTTATAATATGTTAATAAGATATTCTATGAGAGTTATATAGTATTCACCTGTCAAAATGCTAGGACTCTTTTAATATTTCACAGAGAATTAAGTTGTGATGATCATTGAATTTATTTATTGGCAGCTAATTAAGTTTTCTTCTGACATACATTTTTGACCATATAATCTTTTCAACAAAATTTTCATCTTTATTTGCAATAACCCATGATATTTCTTTTAACAAATTAAATATGTAATCTGTATTTAATTTACTCATATGTATTCATAATAAATATATTTTTTCATCAACCTTAGAAAAATGATTTTAAATATCATTTTTTTTTGGTCATTAGATTTTTATTTTTCAATTTAATTTTATATATGTTTTACATCATTCTTCCTTTTTGAACAATGCATGCTTTCTCTTCTCAGGTATAGTTCTGGAAAAATTCCCATCACCAATTCACCTGTGCACCATCACCATAGCCCCTTGTGCAAGAACACTTTGCTTCCCTGCCTTGATCCTTCTCCAGTCTCCTTCCCTGCAGTGTCGATTAGTTGCCTGTTAATTTTGTTTTTTAATTTATTATTATTTTTTCCTGTACCATTATTTGGCTTCCCTATAGAGCTACTATAGGTGAAACTGAATTTTTCTTTTTCCTTCTGTCTTATTTCACTGAGCATAATACCTTCCGGTTCCATCCATGTTGCTGCACATGTCATGAGTT